CCCGCCCTGCGTCGCGGCCCCGCCCCTCGAAGCGGCCCTGCCCTACGTCGCGGCCCCGCCCTACGTCGCGGCCCCGCCCTGCGTCGCGGGCCCCGCCCCTCGAAGCGGCCCTGCCCTACGTCGCGGCCCCGCCCCGACCGTCGCGGCCCCGCCCCGACCGTCGCGGCCCCCGCCCTACGTCGCGGCCCCGCCCTGTGTCGCGGCCCTGCCCCTCGAAGCGGCCCTGCCCGACCGTCGCGGCCCCGCCCCTCGTCGCGGCCCCCGCCCCTCGTCGCGGCCCCCGCCCCTTGTCGCGGCCCCGGCCTCCAACCAGGCCCGTGGTGGGCCCATTTCACCACACCGCCTCCACCCCCCCCCCCCCCCCCCCCCCCCTCCCCCCCCCCCCTCCCCCTGCCATTTCCCGTCGTCCGTCGAGGCGACCTGAGGGGGCCGCTTGCGGCGGGCGTCTGCCCTACCTTCGCGGGCGTCCGCCCTACGTCGCGGCCCCGCCCTACGTCGCGGCCCCGCCCTACGTCGCGGCCCCGCCCTGCGTCGCGGCCCCGCCCCTCGAAGCGGCCCTGCCCTACGTCGCGGCCCCGCCCTACGTCGCGGCCCCGCCCTGCGTCGCGGCCCCGCCCCTCGTCGCGGGCCCCGCCCCTCGAAGCGGCCCTGCCCTACGTTGCGGCCCCGCCCTACGTCGCGGCCCCGCCCTGCGTCGCGGCCCCCGCCCCTCGAAGCGGCCCTGCCCTACGTCGCGGCCCCGCCCCGACCGTCGCGGCCCCGCCCCGACCGTCGCGGCCCCGCCCTACGTCGCGGCCCCGCCCTGTGTCGCGGCCCTGCCCCTCGAAGCGGCCCTGCCCGACCGTCGCGGCCCCGCCCCTCGTCGCGGCCCCGCCCCTCGTCGCTGGCCCCGCCCCTTGTCGCGGGCCCCGGCCTCCAACCAGGCCCGTGGTGGGCCCATTTCACCACACCGCCTCCACCCCCCCCCCCCCCCCCCCCCCCCCCCCCCCTCCCCCCCCCCTCCCCCTGCCATTTCCCGTCGTCCGTCGAGGCGACCTGAGGGGGCCGCTTGCGGCGGGCGTCTGCCCTACCTTCGCGGGCGTCCGCCCTACGTCGCGGCCCCGCCCTACGTCGCGGCCCCGCCCTACGTCGCGGCCGCGCCCTGCGTCGCGGCCCCGCCCCTCGAAGCGGCCCTGCCCTACGTCGCGGCCCCGCCCTACGTCGCGGCCCCGCCCTGCGTCGCGGCCCCGCCCCTCGTCGCGGCCCCGCCCCTCGAAGCGGCCCTGCCCTACGTTGCGGCCCCGCCCTACGTCGCGGCCCCGCCCTGCGTCGCGGCCCCGCCCCTCGAAGCGGCCCTGCCCTACGTCGCGGCCCCGCCCCGACCGTCGCGGCCCCGCCCCGACCGTCGCGGCCCCGCCCTACGTCGCGGCCCCGCCCTGTGTCGCGGCCCTGCCCCTCGAAGCGGCCCTGCCCGACCGTCGCGGCCCCGCCCCTCGTCGCGGCCCCGCCCCTCGTCGCGGCCCCGCCCCTTGTCGCGGCCCCGGCCCTCCAACCAGGCCCGTGGTGGGCCCATTTCACCACACCGCCTCCACCCCCCCCCCCCCCCCCCCCCCCCCCCCCCTCCCCCCCCCCCCTCCCCCTGCCATTTCCCGTCGTCCGTCGAGGCGACCTGAGGGGGCCGCTTGCGGCGGGCGTCTGCCCTACCTTCGCGGGCGTCCGCCCTACGTCGCGGCCCCGCCCTACGTCGCGGCCCCGCCCTACGTCGCGGCCCCGCCCTGCGTCGCGGCCCCGCCCCTCGAAGCGGCCCTGCCCTACGTCGCGGCCCCGCCCTACGTCGCGGCCCCGCCCTGCGTCGCGGCCCCGCCCCTCGTCGCGGCCCCGCCCCTCGAAGCGGCCCTGCCCTACGTTGCGGCCCCGCCCTACGTCGCGGCCCCGCCCTGCGTCGCGGCCCCGCCCCTCGAAGCGGCCCTGCCCTACGTCGCGGCCCCGCCCCGACCGTCGCGGCCCCGCCCCGACCGTCGCGGCCCCGCCCTACGTCGCGGCCCCGCCCTGTGTCGCGGCCCTGCCCCTCGAAGCGGCCCTGCCCGACCGTCGCGGCCCCGCCCCTCGTCGCGGCCCCGCCCCTCGTCGCGGCCCCGCCCCTTGTCGCGGCCCCGGCCTCCAACCAGGCCCGTGGTGGGCCCATTTCACCACACCGCCTCCACCCCCCCCCCCCCCCCCCCCCCCCTCCCCCCCCTCCCCCTGCCATTTCCCGTCGCCCGTCGAGGCTACCTGAGGGGGCCGCTGTGGGGTGGCGGGTATGGGGGTGCTCAGTGTGCCTTCCTCCCTTTGCTCCTCCTCCTCCTTCGTCTCCCACTGCTGCAGCTGTCGCTGAGGGGGGTGGTTGTGTGGGAGACTGGGGTTTAGGGTTTAAGGGGGGGTGCGTGGGAGTAGAGCTAGCGGTGTAGCAGTGGGTGTGTATCAGGGGGGTGGGACCGTTTGCGGGAGGTTGAGCGGAGGCTGCCGGCTTGTCGTCCGCAGCACCTGTAGTCCGGGGCGCTGTCCCGGTAGCCCAGTCGTAGCTAGCTGTGCCAGCCGCCCGTAGGTCCGTTGCCCGTCCGCCGCTATTTGAGCCGCGGGGCCTGTTACTCCTGTAGTCCGGGCGCTGTCCGGTAGCCGCTGTGCCAGTCTGCTTCCTGTTGCCCGTGTGTCTGCAGCTTCAGCCGTCGCCTCGTGTCTCCTCTCCCCTCACTCTCCCTCCTCCTCCTCACTTGCCCGTTGTGACTACCACTAGCTTTGCTTATAATTGTGAACTCTAAACTATTTCTTCTTGAACTTGTGCTCAGAATGTGTGGTGACATTGTGATCCACCCTGAGCTTGTTTTGCTTTGCCTGCTCTGCTGATTACACCCCACTTTGGCTATGGGGGTGTGTCAGAATATTATTCTTATGTTCTAGCCTGTAGTGGGGTGCTCTATAGCGAGTACAACCCTTCTAGGGTTTGCTATTTGTATCCCCATTTCTGCTAGTTCATTCCTCTTTCTTCTTCTAACTTTTGTCAGTTACTGCATGTTACATAGCTGCTGTGTGGAGCGTGATGTAAGCAGCTATTTAAATAGGATATTAGGTGATTGTTGTTTTGTCTATGGGAAGGCACACTAGGTGGTGTGATTTTGACTTTTCTCTATGTATGGCATGAGTTGTAATGTAAGAGCTTTGGATTGCTGGTTTCGGTCCATGACTCACGATTTTGCTGTTTGCGGTAAACATAATTTCCTGGACTGTAAAATGTGTTGCATTTTTATGGTGTTTCTATATACTCAGAAATATATGAAACTATTTATTCGTTACAGAAACTCTAATACGACAACTGACAAGTTTCTTTAGCGAGGATGAGCAATGTTTGGAGGATGTTGGTGCACTCCTTGCCGAGCCTGATGAAGATTGTCTTAGAATCTTAAGCAAGGGTAGGCTTAGAAGCCATAGTGTAGGTGCCTAGGTGATCAAGTTCGAGAGGGTTAGGAAAGTATCGAGAGATTTTTGAAAGAGAAGGGGTTTCACTAGCAAGAGTTGGGATACAAGTACAATGCCCTAAATTGGGTTGTACTCATTACAGAGTACCCCACTGCAGGCTAGACAGCAAATATATTATGACAGATTGGTCAGGCAAACCTTTCAAGCACTCCTCTAACAAACCTGCACTTTTGAGCATTCCACATGATAAACCACAAGCATTGATGGCAGGGGAAAACATCAAACACTCCCCCAGCAATCTTTTTGCATTCTTTTTCCGTTCCGAATTTTGTAGAGGCGGGGAGCGGTGGAGAGGGCCGGAGGTTCTCAAGTTGCGAGTTAGTTCCATTGGCAGCTGTTCACAGAGGTGTCTTTTGAGTCGACTCAAAAGTCAACAAAGGTGTCTCACTCAAAACACAACTCTCCCCTAGCCACACTCCAGCTTGTTTCTTAGGCGCCTCAAGAACCACACCTGCTGAGACGTTGATAAGCAGGCAGGCACACACCTGCGTGCACGTTAATAAGCAGGTTGATAAGCAGGCACACACCTGCGTGTACGTTAATAAGCAGGTTGATAAGCAGGCACACACCTGCGTGCACGTTAATAAGAAGGTTGATAAGCAGGCACACACCTGCGTGCACGTTGATAAGCAGGTTGATAAGCAGGCACACACCTGCGTGCACGTCGATAACAAGGTCGACGTCCCAAAAGCCCAAGATGCGAGTTAAGTCCATAGGCAGCTGCTCAGTCTCCGGCCCCACTCGCACCTTCCCAAAACCTGCCAGCTTGGTATCGTACTCCTGTGGCACAGGGAGGAAAGGGAGGAGTGGGGAATCCGGAGGGACGGGGCAGAGGCAGGCAGCCGTTGTTGGGTTGGGAAGCTATATGTGATATTACATACCTTCCAAAATCCGTCTGACTCGACTCAAAAGTCAATTCGGCTGAAATCGAAATCCATGTGTGACGTCACGTCACGCATCTTCCAAAATCTGTTCTGACTTTTACATCGACTCAAAAGTCAACTCAAAAGTCAACTCAAAAGTCAACTCGAAAGTCAACTCAAAAGTCAACTCGAAAGCTATATGTGATATCTCACGTCATCTAGAATCCAATAGCTTTGCATAATATTCATGCCATGGTGGAAAAGGGAACCAATGCGGGGATTCAAAGGGATGGTGAAAGCAGCGCTCATATAATGTCGACTTCCCGCCCCTGCGATCTGCCCTGCTGCTACCTCCCCTCTCTCCCCAAGTCACCACCTCCCCACCCCACTCACAGGCAAGAGCAGCGCTGTCGGCTTGCTACCTCTACGATCCGCCTTGTTACCGCCCCTCTCTCCCACGCCCTTACATGCACTCACAGGCGACAGCAGCACGCTGGCGGCTTTCAAATTGCCGTGGATAAAGTTACGTCCGTGCATGTATGCGAGCGCCTCTGCCACCTGCACCGCCACCTTGAGCCGCATGCTCCAGCTTAAGAAGAGCTCTTCCTTTGCACCTGGTGGGTTGATGCGGGGAGGGAGGAGGGGTCGAAGAGTTGGTACCGAATATGATGGGACAGCAACGACAGCTGAGTCCACTCTAATCTGGTGGTTAACCACCCGTAGCACCCCACTCTAATCTGGTGGTTAACCACCCGTAGCACCCCACTCTACTGCCCCAGCACCCCACCCACTGTCCAAGCTGCCCCCTGGTCATGAACTCGTACACGAGCAGAGAGAGGCGAGAGCAGAGACTACTATAAACAGGTGGTATACCACCGTAGCACCCCACTCTTTGTCCTCTAGTGCTTCATCCAAGCTGCCCCCCGGCATGAAGTCATACACGAGCAGAGCTTCATCGCCCTCCGTACAGTAGCCATGCAGATGCACGAGGTGCGGGTGCGACAGAAACCCCAGCGCGGCAACTTCTCTCTGCAAGGCACGGAAGGGGGGGGGGTAACGGGGGGGGGACGGGTTGAGAGAGGAAGAATGGGAGGAGGTTGAAGGGGGCAGTTGCCTCATGGGCCAGCACGATCATCCTTCATTCCACGGTGATTTCAGGTCGTATCCCTGGCTGGTGGCAAGAAGTTGGTGGCAAGAAGTTTCCGCGCGCGATTGGTCCATAACAGACGCCCGACCAATGCGATTGGTCAAGCGTTTTTTTTAACCAATCGCGTGCGCAAAATTCTTGCCACCAACTTCTTGACACCAGCCAGGGATACGACCTCATTTGAAACGGGGACAAAGGAGGATCAAGCCGCGAGCCAGTTCCCCAAACTTGGGTTTCCCGTAGGTTATTCGTGTTTCGAGTCGACTCAAAACACGGCTGTGGGGTGCGGGTATGAAGCCTCCATGCATTATTAGGGACAGAGGAGGACCATTGGTTAGAGAAATCTCAAGAAACAGATTCAGCCTCCATGCGCTAGGGACAGAGGAGGACCAAGGCATGCAGTGCAGGTGCACGAGGTGCGGGTGGGTGGGTGGGGCAGCCGCTTGTTATGCCACGAGCTTTTCAAGTCGACTCAAGGATCGCCCGAGCGCGATATGCAATTGAAGGAAGGATTGGAATTTAGTGGAAGAGTGATGCTGAAGGAAAGTTGGCATTCAACCCAACCTCTTATGCAACCACGTGTCATACAACCCCCCTTTTTCTCCCACCCACGCACCCACGCACCCACGCACCCGCACACGCACACACGCACTCACGCACCAGAAATGCTCGTGCACTCATGTGCCATACAAACCCCCTCTTTCTCCTACCCACGCACCCACGCACCAGAGGCGCGTCCCCGTCTCCTTTGTTCGCCTCGCGCATTCTCTTAATCGCCACTTCCGTCGGCTCCGCGCCAAGCCCATTCGGCCCCGGCGGGATCATCCCCCAATACACGGTCCCGAACCGGCCTTCGCCAATGCAGTTTCGCCGATGAAAGCTGTTCGTCCCACCCTCGAGTTCGGCGAGCGAAAACTGTCGCAGGGATCTCGGGACGAGGTCAGGCCGAGGATTGTCGCAGGAAAGTGTCGCTGGCGCTAGGATTCGCGGCTGAACCGTCGACCGGAGCAACTATTATCCATCGCCGAAATGGGAAGTGCGGAGAGTTGCGTGAAAATAGAAAGAAGGTAGCTTGGGATGCGAAAACAAGGGAGATTGGGGTGAGAAGTATCTAAAATGTGACTTAAGGGCTTCACGTAAGTGACTTTCCAGGGGATCTTAATACAGGCCCTTCACTGGGTCCACTTAGGGTGACTACTTTAGCGAGAGTGTTTCACAAGCGATGCGGCGACACAGAAGTCAAACGCACCGTCGCCGCAAGGCCACCATCCGCGAACCATCCCGGTGGGGACAGGCGAGACCAACCAGAGTCAACTCTCGTTGACCCTGTGTTGACCCTCTCCTCAGCTTCCAGCCATCTTCCAGCCTCGGTGGCTGCCCAACTAAGCCCAGGCCAGGGTAAGTAGCGACCGCGGGTGTGACTTGAAGGGTTGCGTGCGCAGGAACGTCGCTGACGCATACGTGATATTGCCACGTAGGACAAGGTTTGCCTCGACCCGAAAAGAGTGGCATGGGATCGAGGTTCGAGGGACGACCTTATGTGTAACGCCTGTGGGCTAAGTGTTAATGGGCATTCCGCTGCGCCAAATAACACCCTCGTTTTGACCCAGTGGGTAGCGAGGTGTTACATTTGGTATCAGAGCCTAGGGTTCGAATTCCGGCTGTACCACACTTTCCGCCTTTGGCGAGAACTGAAGTGCAGTTGTAACCAGCTCGAACCCAACGAACGATCCTCCGCTTGCCTAGTCCACCAGCGAAGTCGCTGCTTGGAGCACAGCGAACAAGTCCCTGCGGGGGCCGACTCCCTGAAGTTCGTCAACGGGGACTGTTGACACCAGGGGGGGACGAGTGTAACGCCTGTGGGCTAAGTGTTAATGGGCATTCCGCTGCGCCAAATAACACCCTCGTTTTGACCCAGTGGGTAGCGAGGTGTTACATTACGAGCTACAGCCGATAAACACGGCCTGCTTTGGTGGCTGGCATGGCATTGCATAGCATCGCAGACAGTTACACACACACTCATCGTGCGAATCGCATGAGCAGTCGCCCAGTCGTGCGCGTCTCGCAGATTCACCTACGGCGACTGGTTTCATTTTCTTGCTTGTGTTACACTGCTGTTATCTTTTTAGAGTTTCCCTCTAGTGGATGTTGGAAGCAAAGTGTAACACAATTTGTTCCATTCTACCCCGACTACCCACCTGTCTGATAAAATGATTGCACCATAAGTTCTCCATGTGGTTTACAAGTTCCGGTGTGTATGACCAACTTGTGTGATCGGTTGCAAAGAACTAAGCAAACACAAAAGACGGAATCAGCACTGACAAGATCTTTGCGAAGGGCCAATAAATGCAATTTGGGTACTTGGACACTCTACAGCAACATTATTTCCCACTACCCTTCTGCTACCTTACGTATCACAGGAAGTAACTCAACCTACAACGTATGCAGGAGTTGCCACGGCTGCTGACCTCCCTGAATCTCTTGTCATTCGCCTCCATTCGTCTCTGTATATCCGCTTTCGACCGACCCTGATTCTCCCGCCTCAAGCACAGCATCCGTAGCTGCCGCTTCCTCTCCATCACTCTCACACACTCCGCAAAGTTTCCAATACATTCTCAATCTCCGGCCGCTTTGACCGATTCTTTGCAAGGCAGAACCAAGCCAGAATCGCCAAGCGTCGGGCGCCTGACTTGGAGTACTGGTTACCAAGTCGAGGGTCGATATATGCTTCAGGTCTGAGATTTGGGTCCGAGACAAGTGCTTTGCATTCGATTACAATCGTCTCTTTCTCTTCCGCCACTCTTCTGCCGGTTACCAGCTCTAGCAGGAGAACACCAAAGGAGTAGACGTCACTCTTGGCACTCAGGTGACCTAGGGAAGGGAGAGATCAAAGGAAGAAAAGGGAGAGGGGGAGAGAGGAAAAGAGGGAAAGAGTGGGCAAGTGGAGAGAGGAACAGACATCACCCTTGGCACCCAGGTGACCTGTAGCGACTTTTGAAGCGCCTCAAAAGTAGTTTCAAAAGGCGCCTCAAAAGTCGTCACAGACATCACCCTTGGCGCCCAGGTGACCTGTAGTGGGCGCGCGCGAGGGGGGAAGGAGGGGGGGGGGGGGGGGGGAGGGAGGAGAGAGGGAGGGGAAGGAGCGGGGAAGGGGTGAGGTATCCCCAGGTGAGGTATCCCCAGCCAAACCTTCTGTATGCTAGTCAATTCTTCAGTATAAGATCTTCTTTTCCATGTATGAGGGGTTTGTGTATCCTCAGGTTCCCATGATGCGAGTTGACTCACTTGACAGCAGGTGCACTGCCGTTCAGCCCCCCACTCCGCCAGTACCCCACCCCACACCCTCTGTATTGCGCATGCTACTTTTAGTCCACACACATCTTTCTCCATGTATGAGGGGTCTATGTACCCGGGGGTGCCCATGACGCAGGTCGACACAATCGACCGCAACTGCCTATCCGGCCCCACTCGCACCATGCCAAAGTCTGCCAGCTTTGCGTCATACTCCTGTGGCATTGGTGGTGGGGAGAGGACGGGTGGCAATATTGGGAGTACGGGGGAAAGGGGGCAGTCATTGAAGGGAAGCTACACGTGATCCCTCACACCATTCCAGAGTCTGACAGCTTTCTCAAGAGTCGTATTCTTGTGGCAGGGGAAGCTACACGCGATCACTCACACCAAGGGGGTGAGAGGAGCATATGATTCGGAGGGAAGGAGCATGTGATTCGGAAGGAAGGAGCATGTGATTCGGAAGGAAGGAGCATGTGATTCGGAGGGAAGGAGCATGTGATTCGGAGGGAAGGAGCAGGTGATTCGGAAGGAAGGAGCATGTGGGTTTTGAGTTGACTTACACGAGGAAGATTCGGAAGGAAGGGGGCAAAAGCAGCCATTGTTGAGAAGCTATATGTGATGGGTCTCGCGCCATACAGAACCTCTTCTGATAGAAGTAGTGCTTTGTGACGCCTCAAAACACTACTTTTACCAGAGGCAGCCATTGTTGAAAAGCTATATGTGATGGGTCTCGCGCCATACAGAACCTCTTCTGATAGAAGTAGTGTTTTGTGACGTCTCAAAACACTACTTTTACCAGAGACAGCCATTGTTGAGAAGCTATATGTGATGGGTCTCGAGCCATACAGAACCTCTTCTAATAGAAGTAGTATTTTGTGACGTCTCAAAACACTACTTTTACCAGAGGCTGCCATTGTTGAGAAGCTACATGTGATGGGTCTCGCACCATACAGAACCTCTTCTGACTTCTGAGTCCACTCAAGTGTCAATTCGGAAGCAATATGTGAAGTGATGTGATGTGATGTGATGTGTCTCGCGCCATCCAGAGTCTCTCATCTCTGCATCATATTCGTGTCAGCTTTAGAACAGGTTCGAGTGGGGAGATTTAGAGGGATGGTGAAAGCAGCGTTGAGAGCTTGCTGCCTGTACTATCTGCCCTGCTACCTCCCCTCTCTCCCATGCCCTTACATGCACTCACAGGAGAGAGCAGCACGTTGGCTGCTTTCAAATCCCGGTGAATAATTTTGGATTTGTGCAGATACGCCAGCGCCTCTGCCACCTACACCGCCACCTTGAGTCGCATGCTCCAGCTGAAGAAGAGCTCTTCCTTTGCACCTGGTGGGTGGAAGGGGGGTGCGGGGTTGTGGCACAGGCAGGAGGACGGAAGGAGCAAAGGAGGGCAGAGAGGGAAACAGGGAGGGCAGCAGGGGAAGCAGCAGAGAGGACCGCGGGAAGGGCAGAGAGGGCAGCAATGGGATCAGGTGCAAGCCACACCCGCATGAACTGGTGGTTAACCACATGAGCAGGGAGAGGCGAGTGCTGATTCTAGTCGAAACTGGCGGTTAACCACCACCTGTAGCAGCCCACTCAATGTCTAATAACGCTTCGTCCATGCCGCCCCCCCGTCGTGAACCTGTACACGAGCAGAGCGAGGAGAGAGCTGAGTCCACTCTACCCTGGTGGTATACCACCCGTAGCACCCCACTCACTGTGTAATAGAGCCTTGTCCAAGCTGCCACCAGTCATGAATTCGTACACGAGCAGAGCCTCGTGGTCTTCTATGCAGTAGCCGTGCAGATGCACGAGATGCGGGTGGGACAGCCGCCCCAGCACGATCACCTCTCTCTGCACGAGAGGGGTCGAGAACGGTTGGAGAAGTGGAGATGAAAAGATGGATGGGTTGGGTTGGGCCCTCCCTGCAATAACCATGCAGACGCACAAGGGTTGGGAGGGTGGCGGGTTGGGGTAGAGGGATGTGAAGGGTCCATGCAGTGGCCGTGCAGACGCGCAGGACGCGGGTGGGACAGCCGCCCCAGCACGATTATCTCTCTCTGCAGTGATTTGAAAAGGGGACAAAGGAGGATAAGCGGGACGGGTTGTGTGCGTGCGAAACATCCAGTCAGTAGCAGTGCATGCGCTACAAGGTGCGGGCGGGACAGCTTTCCAGCACGATCACTTCTTCTGCACAAGAGGTGCGTGCGGCGTGGTGGAGCGTGGTGTGTGTGTGCAAAATCTCCAGGCAGTAACAGTGCAGGCACACAAGGTGTGGGATGGACACCTCTCCAGCAATCTCTCTGCAGTCGAGGGGATTGGCATTGTGTGGAAGGAAACGGGAGATGCTCATTAGGAACGCTGGCACTCCAGCCTCTTATCTCATGGATGCACGTACCATAGTATCATAACCCCCATGTCTCTCTCACCCACGAGCGCACGCACGCACGCACCAGAAATTCTTTCTCGTATCGTTCGTTCACGTCGCGCATTCTCTTAACCGCCACTTCTGTCGGCTCCGAGCCGAAAAAGGGAAGTTCAAA